GCATGCATTGTCGGCCTCACGTTCAAGTGCCCAGGGCCTAACTAACTCAGAGGCCCTGGGTTTTCAGCATTTGCTGAGATTCGAGACTCGGTGCACTCCAACCAACTGGCGTGCTGCAACTGTATGGACCCCACTTCGGGAAATGTTTGCACAGAGGGCTCTTGTTGATTTGCTGGCCCGCCTTCACTTAGGGCGGGCACTAGGCTTGCTGGGGCCTTAGCCCAGAACATGTACATAATGGCAAGGCCCCTTCTTGAGGGCTCAATCCTCACATCAGGCAAATCTTGTTTAATTTATTTTTCTCTCTATAACATATCTTTTTTTCAGATTTTTTTGATGACTTGTTTTTTTTTTTTTTTTTTGGGTCCGCGTTCGGCCCGAACGGCCGAACGCATCCCCAAGGGGTCCCATACGTTTGGGCGTTCGGGTTCGGGCGTTCGGCCCGTCCCGAACGCCGGTTGCCCTGTATATATATGTAATATTATATATATCTAGGCTACCAGAGTGGCCGGGGATCACTTGCCCGGCCGGGCCAAAAAAAATAAAAATAAAAAAGTAATAAAAATAATAAAAATATTTTTTAATTTTATTTTTTATTTTAAATTTGGTAAAGAGTTTCGATGTGACCCTCAGGCAAAAGTTGTTCAGTTTATTAAACTTTATTTTCCTGCATAACATAGTTTTTTTTTTTCGGATTTTTTGGATTTTTTTTTTTTTTTTTTTTGCTGGGACCGTCCTTGGTCCTTACACGGGCTGGCCACCCGGGACCCGGGCGGCCCGGCTGGTAGCCTATATATATATTGTCACATCACTACAAACTAAAAGAGCGCACTTTGCGGAACAAAGAATAAAAGCAAAAAACGGGCACAGTGATAACATGCAAAAATAAAAATAAAAATAAAAACAAAAAGAAAAAACAAGGGCAGATTGAAACCATTAAATTTCTCATTCTTCTTTGAACTCCACCTCCACTGTGCCTCTCACGTGCAAGGCTCGCCACGTTGATGAAGTTGAGCGCGAGCTGCCCCCATCCCCGTATGCCATAACAGCCCACTTGCACGCTGTGAGAGAGGCAGAGTGAAGGGGAAGGTGTTAAACACAGGGAAAAGCTCAAGAATGAGGCTGTCCTTGACGACAGAAAGGACACACATTGTAAGGATGGGGTGGATGAGCGCATGGAAGACCTAACTGAGCATTCTCAAAACAACAACTGCCACGACGGCTGGCATTAATCATGCCAACCATATATATATATATATGGACTTGGTTCCTGAGACACCATGGAGGACGTGTTTCTCTCTTCATTTTGAGGGTGGACTGCAGGGAAGAGGGGCTAGAGGCACCGGGCCAGTGTTCTGGTAAGCTGCTTTAGAACTAATACGGGGGAAATGATATTGAGATTGAGAGTTGGAGGGGCTCTTCTGATGGTGCTCCATTCTTTCCATATCTTAAATCACCACGATCCCCGAACCTATTTTGCTGAACCTGGCCATGATAGTTGAAGATTGCCGAAGTTGGGGTACCCCCTTTTGTGCCTGGTAGGTGAAACCTGGCCACGACCACCAGATACGGAGGCACAGGGCCTGTTCACTGGCGGCAGTAGTCGTTGCGCAAAACAAGCAATACGAGACTGGCAATTCTCTCCTGAAGAACAATTTCTAATCAAGTAAGTATCAAACTGGGTGCAGGTAGGCAGGTTCATTGAAATAATGGACGCCGTGTGTACCACCAGGCCGCAATTTTCGGAAGAAAGGTTCCACTACTGATGGTCCAAGTTCTTGAATCGTAATCGTAATCGTAATCCTGTCTGTCTGTGTGGCGAGAGAGAGCTTTTTATGGTGTTCATCTGATTCCATCAGGATTTGAACCTATGATGTGTTTCCTATGATGTGATTATCAGCAGTTGGTTGGATGTGTGTACCACGCAGCCACATGGGCTGGGCGGAGCTTTCGTCTCCTCTTCTTTTTTCTTTCCCATTACTGTTAGCTTTTTCCCTCTGGGGACGATTGTCTTTCCCTCCCTCCCCCCCCCCTCCCCTCCCCTTAACAGTCCCTTGTGGTCCTGGCTCCTATCTGTTTCTGGGAATCGCATGATGTGTGCGTATCATTCCTTTCTTTTTTTTCCCTTCTTTTTTTTTTTTTTTAACATGTTTTTTTTTTCTTTTTTCTTTTTTCTTTTTTTCTCTTCTTAATTTGGATCATTTCTTGATTTATGGGTGTTATCCTTGCACAGGGGCCGGCCGTGCTAATCTTAAATCTTGTCTGTATCGTCAAAATTTTGACGGATGTCCCTAAGGACATGTTGAATGTTCGTATGGTTTTTGATCTCCGAGGGTTTCTGTTTTTTCTTTTATATCTCAGAGGATTTCATCAAACCACCACTATGTTCCCCAGCCATTTTGTCTAAGATGCGGCGCTCATGCTGCCGCGTGTGGCGAGATGTACTGGGGTGACGTTTTGCTGAAAATCCATCCACAGTCGCATGCAAGACCTGATTTACCTGGATGGATTTTCCACCAGCGGGCCTCCCAGAGTATCCCGCCGGATGCAGCAGCATGCACTTCACGCGGCGTCTTAGGAAACACGTACCGGTGATTTAAAGCACCAATACATCTGGAGAATTGGAATGAGCCTCTCCAAAAAGTTAGGGGACTCAAGGGCCACTTAGGGGCGGGCGGAATTCTTTTATGTTCAGGGTTGGGCCTAATGCCACGCCACGGCATGGGACTTTTTGTTTTCCATTGGCCTTTCGGACTCCCTTTCCCAAGCATCGAGGATTTTTTTTAGGAGAGGCTCAATTTTATTTTCAACTTGGTTGGGGGAACTTGGGGCCACTTGGGCCCACTTGGGACCACTTGGGACCCCTTGGGGCCACTTGGGACCACTTGGGACCACCAGTGGTTTAATGATGTGGTTCGTCGATACCTGATCTAAGGGGATTTCATAAATGCGAAGGTGCCGACACTGTCAAGTACGCAACTGCCATCTCCTGTTGACATCCGTATGCCCTTTCTCAGTCTTCTGCTGATGCTTTCTGTTCATTTCAGTTTTTCTGCCACATCATGACTCGTATGTATATGCCGATTTGATTTACGGCCGTACCGAGCATATCCCTGGTCTCTTCAGGCTGGTGGGATCAGCTGTGGAGGCTTGTCCTCCAGACCCGACTGACAGAGGGAGGTCAGGAAGGGGAGGTGTACCTGAAAAGCTTGGCATTCTAGAGGACTAATGCTCTATGGATTCGTGGTTTCACTCAGTAAGGGCTTGGTAACTTTGGTGGCTTTTTTTTTTTTTTTTTTTTTTCAATAACAGAAAACACACTCCCGCCCCTTCTATTCCGGGGGGAACAGTCCGGTTACTCTTCACCGGCAAGCCTGAAAAAGCAACTCATGAAGAGAGGGAGCAACTCTGCCAAGGCTCAAGACGCCATAGACAGTGGGCTGTTGCTACACTATAGAGTGTGGCAGCGGGGCTTTCACGGACTCAGCCCCCTCCTAGCTGGGAGACGCTCCACGTACCCAGACGCTCAGGAGGAAGAACGGGCCATGATTGTCCTACTCCTCTGTACTGTAGCAATGCTCCCGCTGCTGACAGTCTGCCACTTTGAATGCAGCGGCCACATCAATTCACCACTGTTCCCTGTATTTATTCAGCCTTCCTAGAATCTATCCTCTTCCTCACTATTGTTAGGCTAGATTGTTCCATCTACTCTGCATTACAGTTTCCTCAGTTTCCTCAGTTCTCCTCTTTTATCGCTAACATCCCCGGCCACATACCCCACTGTGTCTCCGAAGCCCCCCGCCGGGCGACCAGAACAGATTCCCAAACTTATTGGAGCCATTTACCAGGCCGAATTTGACCAGCGCCGGGAACGGTCTCCATGTTACAGAGTTCAGATGTCTGTGTTGGAAGTCGGCCGCTATTGCCTGTCTGAGCGTTTGATCGACTGCCACCCTTGTTGCTGCCATTGCCGGTCTCTCGCCTCCCTTCATGACTGCGCACCTGGTTTTCCAAATTCCCCAGCAGGCAGCGGCTCTAGTTATCTCGCCAGCATACTGGGTGGCACCACGATCCTGCTTGATCTCACCGACTTGTAACAGGGGTCCCAACAGTGTCCCCTCCGTTGGCAGTTGCTTTCGGGAGAGCGGGGTCCAGTCTGCCATCGCTTGCTCCCACCATTCCTAACTTGCTAGACTTGCTGGAATGAGTACGTTGATTCACTCGCTATGGGTTTGACTTTTTGAACTTGCTAGACTTGCTGGACTGAGTAGTGGAGAATCTTAATACTGCAAAGCTTCGTTGGTTGCTGATGAAGACAAGCATAGACTCAATAGCCCGAAGCTTGGGGAAGCACCAGAGTTGAAAGTGAGATGGGATCAGATTATTCGACGTAGAGCGAGGAACACCATTGCTTACCGCGATGTGAAGAAGAGGTGTGTGACACTTGTAGAGTCTGGAGTGGTTGCCACTCAAGACAGCAGCCTAGAGCGGTGTGCTTCATCTTCATCAGGGAGTATTCATCAATGTAATTACAAGACATTTCTGGAGCTGAAGAAGAATATGTAGTATAATAGTCTGTGTGTGTGGATGTGTGTTGTCATGTTCGCTATCCACAAATAAATGACTGTGTGTGTGTGTGTGTGTGTGTGTGTGTGTGTGTGTGTGTGTGTGTGTGTGTGTGTGTGTGTGTGNAGAGAGAGAGAGAGAGAGAGAGAGAGAGAGAGAGAGAGAGAGAGCGAGAGAGAGAGAGAGAGAGAGAGATGGCATTAGATTCGTCAATAATGATATGATTCCATTCTCTCATTTTTGCTGCTTATTCAGTTTCTGCTGAATTGTCTTCTTCTTTACTCGTAATTTGGATGTTTAGCTTAGGTTCCGAATTTTTTTATTGTGCAAAGTCACTGGGTTGAATTGAGTTGCAGTTCGACATTGGTGTCCTGAACTATCTGAATTCCTTTCGTTTTTGGAACTTTTTTCCTTTGCAATTGCCAAATCTGCAGGAAAGTGGCCCTGGAAATCCAGGTGGACAGTCATGGACGCCAGAATGGTTGGTCTTTGACAACAGTTACTTCAAGGTGAGGAATGGAGCTTCAAGCCTTCAACTTCGTTTGCTCCCCCCAACACCCCCCTCTCCCCCCCAATCTTCGCTACCACTTCGGACTGTTTATCGATCTGTGCGTGCCATCCGTTGTGCGCTGACTGTGCTTATTTTCCCGGAATTGTTCTAAATTTAGCGGACATCGTGAGGGCGCCTTGCTTCAAATGTTACTAGTACGTCCTTCGGCGCAGATAGTCGTGGGGTGCTTGGCGTTAGTGTCAGTGCGGGACGATTCCACTCGACTTTTTTTTAATGTTCCGCTATTACTGTCATAGATTGGGGTACAGTCAAGTAAACTGTTTTCTTAAATTTCTTTTTCTTTTTTTTATATTTTGAAACTACGCTGTATTCTTCTCTCATCCCACTACCTAACCTCTTGTCGACATGTCTATGCCCTAATCTGGAATGCCGTAAGAGTTATGGGATGGCACCGACCTCCTTCCATGCCTAAGCACCGCTGCCTTCCTAACCCCTACCTATGGTTGGCAAGGTCAAGGGATCCCCTGCCGAGACCAACCAGGGGGGACAAGCTGTCTTTCTCAGCTGGTGAACCCAGAGCATGCCTCAGGGGGCCGTGGGGTAAACTGTTTCCTTACCTTCTATCTACTTTTTTTTTGTAGTCTCGACTCTCTAGTGTTTCCTCAACTTTCCTGCGATTCATTGGATGGAGCGATTCTGCTGACGATCCCGTGGGAGCCTTTGCCAAGGTGGAGAACGCCATGCGCTAAGAAATGGAATCCTTCTGCCGCAGTGACTAAAGATCCTCTTAGTCAACTGGAACTAATCAGACTGATGGCGCTAAATCCCTGTCCCCGAGTCTCACGGCTGCAATCAGACCTGCCCTCAGATTCATGGTTGTCGTAAGACGTATCCACCAAAACAGCGCACAAAGCACCACACATCGCACGATAAGTCCGAAAAATATTTCAAAAAAAGGAAAAGAGAAAAGGAAGACTTATGCAGTTTTGGATAAGTTGAAGAAACTTATCAAAAACTGACAAAAAAAGAAAAGAAAGACTTATGCAGTTCTGTTGTGGAACTTGTGGTCATGTTCTTGTTTGTGCAGGCATTGTCTCCATGCTACCATCTCTACCCGAATAGAATGCCCGGTCATTATGAAATTACACCACATACAGCTATAATGACCGGGCGCTCTACTCGGGTCCAGACGTCAGTTGTTAATATTTTAACATTCATCACAGCCCCTCGTCTCTGCCTGCGGTTCACCAGGCTGTTGTCTATGATTATACCGCCTTCAAAATGCTACCACCTTCCCCCGAACTCCGACGCACCCTTATGATGAATCATGAATATATAATACAGAGGTATCTCTCCGGTCTGAAACAGCAACAATGACGCCGCGTTGTGTTCAGGGGAAAACGGCAGTGATGGTATCAGGTTGCATGCACATTATTTTGCTATCAGACTGATGCGCCCTGCTTGCTGGATATTGCATCTGGCCATTTTCTTTTGCAGGAGGTCAAGGCCAAAAGGGATGAGGATCTGCTTGTCCTGCCAACAGATGCAGCGCTGTTTGAGGATCCTGGTTTCAAGGTAAGGTGAATGGTATGTATATGTATATAATATATATATATATATATATATATATATTGCAATCAGACTCGCTTCATTCACACTTCACATGCATCCAAACAGGTTGCGCAGCAAACTGGCGACAAGCGCCCACTCAAAACTCAGAGATATGGTAACCAAGAACACAGTTCAAATACAATCTTGCTTCAGATGGCTATGGCGCATCAGCGCCTATACAAATCTCTGTTCGTCCCTCACACAACACTGCTGTTCACACACCGGATCACCCTGGATATCCCACACCCGTCACGCTGTACACGCACACACACACCCACATGCTACTCCCTTCTAACAGCTATGGCGGCTATGGACGCTGCTATCCCTATCGCTATGGCTAAGCTCCTTCTCGCCCACTTCGTCCTCGGGCTCACTGCAGACCACCTCGCACAAGTCGCTATGGCAGAGCTTCCGCATGGCTTCCGCAGGAATGAATGAACGGCTGGGCGCTGCCTCTTGATTTATACTTCTGTAACTCGCTGGTCTGCCCTTTTCCATCGGCCCATGGTGCACACAGTCCCTCATGGTACTTGCTGGACTGGACTGGGACTAACTGGACCGGTACCGCTGACTGCATGGGTTTGCACCGCAGACCCACTGCAGTCGCACTGCCAACGTACTGAGGTTGGCTCCACCACTTGCCCACTTGCCTCTGCCTAAACGTGAGCCCACTCTGAAAGGCCACTTCCGGGACCTTCCGGAAGTCTGTGGACTTGGCCTTTCGGGTACTGTGGCAGCTACTACCTTGACCTTTCAGGGCTGTAGCAGCTACGACCTTGACCTTTCGGTAGACCTATAGCTACGACCTCTACAGAGCTGTGACCCCTACTCGACAGACCTACAGATCGAATCCCGACATCTGCGCAGTCCTACGACAGACAAACAACAACTAACAAAACACAGGTCACGGGTTCAAACACTCAGAGGTCAACTCGATACTGTACACAGGTAAGGTCAGAACTAGGGATCGAGCCCTGGGATCTGCATTTGCTACTGCTAGCAGGTGAAAACCGTTTCAATATATATATGACGATATATATAATATTATATATATATGAGTCGGTGAAACTCCGACGAAACAGTTTGTCACAGCCCCTTGTTTGTTGTCCTCTTCTCCCTCTCTGCCTACGGTTTTCCGGGCAGCTCTGTTTGACGATATATATATAGAATAAGGCCATCTGCTGTATATAGATATGTAATCTGGGATTTCTCTTTTTTTGCAGACAATAGTTTTGTCCTGGGTGGTCTTGTCCTGTCGTTTGGCCTGTGAAGGAGGGGCGGTGCTTGCATGTGGGACTTGTCATCTAGGATCCGTTTTTGGTACTATTGCTTGTTGCCCCCTGTTCTGGTTTGTTGTATTTGGCTGTTCCCTTCCTCTTTTCTTTGCCTCTTTGCCCTTTGGCTGTGTGCAAGTGGGTCGATATGACCCAGGGGGGTGGGGGCAGCCGCCGCTCAACCTACATCCACGTGGGCGGCCTTGTACGCAAGAGGTTCTGAACAGGGGGAGTTGTAAAGAAGAAGATAAAAAAATGAATTCATTTTTTCTTGGTTTTCTTCGCTTTTGCGCTCTGATATCTTGTGACAATATATCAGCCTCCTGATGAGTCGGTGAAACTCCGACGAAACAGTTTGTCACAGCCCCTCGTTTGTTGTCCTCTTCTCTCTCTCTGCCTACGGTT